AAAAAAAAAAAAAAAAGAATCTGCCTGCCAATGCAGGGGACACAGGTTCGAGCCCTGGTCCAGGAAGATCCCACATGCCATGGACCAACTAAGCCCGTGCACCACAACTACTGAGCCTGTGCTCTAGAGCTCACGAGCCACAAACTACTGAAGCCCTCATGTCACAACTACTGAAGCCCATGCACCTAGAGCCTGTGCTCCACAACAAGAGAAGCCACCGCAATGAGAAGCCCACACACCGCAACGAAGAGTAGCCCCCACTCGCCACAACTAGAGAAAGCCCACGCACAGCAACAAAGACCCAATGCAGCCAAAAATAAAAATAAATAAATAAATTTTAAAAAAGAAAGAAAGAAATCACAGCGTATTCATACAGTGGAATAATACACAGCAATAAAAAGAATGTATTACAGATAAGTTCAGCATGGATGAATCTCAAAAGTATCACGCTAACTGAAATTAGGCCAACACAAGACACTACACACTGCATAATTCCATCTGTATGAAGGTCAAGAATAGATAAAACTAATTTATGTTGTCAGAATCTAATCTATGAAGTCAGAATAGCAATTATCTCTGGGGAGGGGTGTTATCAACTGGAAAGAGGCATGAGAGGCTTCTGGAGTGAGGCAAATGTTCTAGATCTTGAGATATGTGATGGCAGCATAGCTATATATATGTGTAAAAATGCATTAAACTGTGCTCTAAAATTAGTGAAGTCTAATGTCCTTTATTTTGCTATACTTCGATAAAAATGAAAAAATGAGTAAAAATGAAATTTTAAGACACATGTGCTGAGGAAATAACCACTAAGAACTATAAAATACCACCAATTCAGGGTGGATTCTGAGTTGACCCTGTGATATCTGCCAACAGTATGCACAGAAGCAACTACTGAAATTGACTGAACCAAATTAACCCATCAGCTACAGAGTCAACAATCCTCTCTCTTAGGTGGTGGTGTCAGTGTATTCAGCTCACTCATTGCTACCTACCTAAAAACGCTGCTCCCAATCCCACATCCTTATGGGAACAATCTGTCCTTCCCAACGGAATAGTCCCTTAGATTGTCAAAAAGAGTTTTCCAGGGTTCAGTGCCAGCCTAATACCTCTCCTATATCAAAAAGAACACAATTACTGACTTCCTTCACTTCTACAGAACAGCAGTTTAAAAGACAAACTTGTACCCATCAGAATCACAGCAGTAGTTTGTGATACTTTCCTTTGATGTCCCATTATCATATCCAATGATGAAGAGATAACACATGGCATTTAAACCCACAGTCATTTTGCTTTCAAAAAAAAAAAAAACAACTGTACTAATCATTAATAAGCTTAATGCTATTCAAAATTAATATGGTACCTGCACTCTCATATAAAAGAAAAATTAAATACTTACCATTTTGTCTTGTACCAACAGCAGCAATGATTACTGGAACTGAATTTAATGCTCTTTTTATCACTGGAATATAATTATCCTTCACTTCGTGAAATGAAAACTTGTCATTTACGTTGTATTTGATCACAATGATGTCAGCACCTCCAATTAGATTTCGAGAGGTGTACCAATCACTGTCAAAAATGTCCTAAACCAAAATGTAAAGAGCAATCTTTAGTCTGCTGATCTTCAAATCCATCAGGAAATAAACTGTAACATATTAGATTAACTTTTTTACTATATTTTAATTTTTGGAATTCATTTTTAAAATTTATTTTTAAAAAAGTACGTGAAATTTAAAACGTTTGAAGTCTATCAAGTCTTTAAATTTTTTAATTTATTCATCTAGCCTGGACAACTATGTAGTGATAAAATAGAATCTAGAGAATTCCTGAGACTCTGATGGAATAAGCAACCTCTTTCAACACCTGTACTTAAAAATGAACACTTTGTTTTAAAATTATGCCACAAAACATTAGCCAGACTCATCAAGAAAAAATGGGAGAAGACTCAAATCAATAGAATTAGAAATGAAAAAGTAACAACTAACACTGCAGAAATACAAAGGATCATGAAAGATTACTGCAAGCAGGTATATGCCAATAAAATGGACAACCTGTAAGAAATTGACAGGGGCTTCCCTGGTGGCACAGTGGTTGAGAGTCCACCTGCCGATGCAGGGGACACGGGTTCGTGCCCCGGTCCAGGAGGGTCCCACATGCCGCGGAGCGGCTGGGCCCGTGAGCCATGGCCACTGAGCCTGCGCGTCCGGAGCCTGTGCTCCGCAACGGGAGAGGCCACAACAGTGAGAGGCCCACATATCGAAAAAAAAAAAAAAGAAAGAAATGGACAAATTCTTAGAAAAGCAGAACCTTCCAAGACTGAACCAGAAAAAATAGAAAATATAAACAGGCCAATCACAAGCACTGAAATTGAGACTGTGATTAAAAATCTTCCAACAAACAAAAGCCCAGGACCAGATGGCTTCACAGGCGAATTCTATCAAACATTTAGAGAAGAGCTAACACCTATCCTTCTCAAACTCTTCCAAAATATAGCAGAGGGAAGAACACTCCCAAACTCATTCTATGAGGCCACCATCACCCTGATACCAAAACCAGACAAAGATGTCACAAAAAAAGAAAACTACAGGCCAATATCACTGATAAACATACGTGCAAAAATACTAGCAAACAGAATCCAACAGCACATTAAAAGGATCATACACCATGATCAAGTGGGGTTTTTATCCCAGGAATGCAAGGATTCTTCAATATATGCAAATCAATCAATGTGATAAACCATATTAACAAATTAAAGGATAAAAACCATATGATCATCTCAATAGATGCAGAAAAAGCTTTCAACAAAATTCAACACCCATTTATGATAAAAACCCTCCAGAAAGCGGGCATAGAAGGAACTTACCTCAACATAATACAGGCCATATGTGACAAATCCACAGCCAACATCATTCTCAGAGGTGAAAAACTGAAACCATTTCCTCTAAGATCAGGAACAAGACAAGGTTGTCCACTCTCACCATTATTATTCAACACAGTTTTGGAAGTTTTAGCCACAGCAATCAGAGAAGAAAAGAAATAAAAGGAATCCATATTGGAAAAGAACAAGGAAAGCTGTCACTGTTTGCAGATGACATGATACTATACGTAGAGAATCCCAAAGATGCTACCAGAAAACTACTAGAGCTAATCAATGAATTTTGTAAAGAGCAGGATACAAAACTAATGCACAGAAATCTCTTGAATTCCTACACACCAAGGATGAAAAATCTGAAAGAGAAATTAAGGAAACACTCCCATTTACCACTGCAACAAAAAGAATAAAATACCTAGGAATAAACCTACCTAAGGAAACAAAAGACCTGTATGCAGAAAATTATAAGACACTGATGAAAGAAATTAAAGATGATACAAACAGATCAAGAGATATACCATGTTCTTGGATTGGAAGAATCAACAATGTGAAAATGACTACACTACCCAAAGCAATCTACAGATTCAATGCAATCCCTATCAAACTACCAAAGGCATTTTTCACAGAACTAGAACAAAAAATTACACAATTGTATGGAAACACAAAAGACCCCAAATAGCCAAAGCAATCTTGAGAAAGAAAAATGGAGCTGGAGGAATCAGGCTCCTGGGCTTCAGACTATGCTACAAAGCTACAGTAATCAAGACAGTGTGGTACTGGCATAAAAACAGAAATATAGATCAATGGAACAGGATAGAAAGCCCAGAGATAAACCCACGCACATATGGTCACCTTATTTTTGATAAAGGAGGCAAGAATATACAATGGAGAAAAGACAGCCTCTTCAATAAGTGGTGCTGGGAAAACTGGACAGCTACGTGTAAAAGAATGAAATGAGAACACTCCCTAACATCATACACAAAAATAAACTTAAAATGGATTAAAGACCTAAATGTAAGGTCAGACACTATAAAACTCTTAGAGGAAAACATAGGCAGAACACTCTATGACATAAATCACAACCAGATCCTTTTTGACCCACCTCCTAGAGAAATGGAAATAAAAACAAAAATAAACAAATGGGACCTAATGAAGCTTCAAAGCTCTTGCACAGTAAAGAAAAACATAAACAAGATGAAAAGACAACCCTCTGAATGGGAGAAAATATTTGCAAATGAAGCAACTGACAAAGGATAAAAAAAATCTCCAAAATTTACAAGCAGCTCATGCAGCTCAATACCAAAAAAACAAACAACCCAATCCAAAAATGGGTAGAAGACCTAAATAGACATTTCTCCAAAGAAGATATACAGATTGCCAACAAACACATGAAAGAATGCTCAACATCACTAATCATTAGAGAAATGCAAATCAAAAATACAATGAGGTATCACCTCACACCAGTCAGAATGGCCATCATCAAAAAATCTACAAACAATAAATGCTGGAGAGGGTGTGGAGAAAAGGGAACACTCTTGCACTGTTGGTAGAAATGTAAATTGATACAGCCACTATGGAGAACAGTATGAAGGTTCCTTAAAAAACTAAAAATAGAACTACCATATGACCCAGCAATCCCACCACTGGGCATTTTTTTACTGAGAAAACCATAATTCAAAAAGAGTCATGTATCACAATGTTCATTGCAGAGCTATTTACAACAGCCAGGACACGGAAGCAACCTAAGTGTCCATGGACAGATGAATGGATAAAGAAGATGTGGCACAGATATACAATGGAATATGAGCCATAAAAGGAAACGAAATTGAGCTATCTGTAGTGAGGTGGATGGACCTAGAGTCTGTCATACAGAGTGAAGTAAGTCAGAAAGAGAAAAACAAATACTGTATGCTAACACATATATATGGAATCTAAAAAAAAAAAAAAAGAAGAACCTAGGGGCAGGACAAAAATAAAGATACAGACGTAGAGAATGGACTTGAGGACACAGGGAGGGGGAAGGGTAAGCTGGGATGAAGTGAGAGAGTGGCATTCACATATATACACTACCAAATATAAAATAGATAGCTAGTGGGAAGCAGCCGCATAGCACAGGGAGATCAGCTCGGTGCTTTGTGACCACCTCGAGGGGTGGGATAGGGAGGGTAGGAGGGAGACGCAAGAGGGAGGAGATATAGGGATATATGTGTATGTATAGCTGATTCACTTTGTTATAAAGCAGAAACTAACACACCATTGTAAAGCAATTATACTCCGATAAAGACATTTTAAAAAAAAAACAATCCACTAGGACTAAGTACAAAAAATCAGAATGCTAGATTTATGCACATGAAGTAAAACATAAATAAAACACCATATACAAGAAAATAAAATAAAATAATGCCATAGCTTTATCACCTAATAGCTTCAAAAATTAACACTATGCATTAGATGCAAGAGCATCAATGTGAGTAAGGAAGCTTCAGAGGATTTTCTGTGACCCAGTTAGATAATGCAGGATTGTTCAGTGATTTAGACTGTATTGATAATACCCTGTGAATTCTGTGGAGTTCGACATATTTTATCCATATCTCAAAATTCATGTATATTTTTCAACTTTATCCATTCTTTGGACAGTACTGCATATATATAGTGTGCATGTGAGGGGAACAAGGGAGGCGGAGGGGTATGCCTCCACAAAAAGATAGTGTGTATTATAAGATGATGTTAACGTGGTAAGGAGTATATGTGCAATTCATGTATTTTGTTCATATCAATTAAAAATTCAGGATAAACCTTTCCAATTTTGAAATGTTTACTTTTGGACTACAGCTAATAATATTTATATTTAGAATTAGGGCCGAAAGTAATTTAGTATGGACCCTACTCCTTAAAACTTTGCACCTTGATATTTTAAAAATAATTTTTCAAAGTTACTGTGTGAATAGTGGTATAAGAAAAATATCGTTATGTACCTTAATACCATTGCTAAATATGCATAAGTGGCTTCCTTCTCACATTCTGGTTAACTATTAATCATTATTTGTCCTTTCATGTGGCCTTTGGTATGTATTCCTAGGATGTAATAAGTCTAGATTAAGAAAACAGACAGCTAGATATGGCTAACAAGTCCAAAAACTGTTGGGCTATGAAAGTCTGCACTTATGAAATATGAGTCCAAACCAGGGTTTGAATCAATCAGTTGTGACAGAGCTTTTATCCTGTTAGAAAATTCTGGAGAAGTGTCACAGCAATGCCCTTCTGCAGAGAGCTGCTTCTCACCAGTACACCGCCATGCCCCAGCAAAGCCTCTCCCAATTCCCTACCCCCTCACAACCTGCCCATTTCCTACAAGTATATTCTGCATAACAAGAATTGCAGAATTTTTAGATACGAATACTTCACTGAGAGTGGGATGGACAGAGCCTTTTTAGAGGAAGATTTAAAAACCAAAAAAAAAAAAAAAAAAAGGCAAACTATGGGGATATAAACAGCAAAGGCAAAATTCTTGAACTTAGTGGAGGATGTAAGAGGAGGGAGAAGTGAATTGGGACACAGATCAAGAAAATGTGAAAGCTTCCCAGCAGAGCTCTATGCTAATTTCCAAATCCCAAACCACAAAACCCATTCAGTTCCAGCTGTATCTGTTACAGTATTCAAGCTCAAAGTATATACGTACAACAGGGTATATAAATACAATAAAGAAAGAGG